TTATCCAATTATGTGAACTAACACAATAACGAAAAGCACAATTAAGGCTTAACAAGCTCAAAACTGATTAGAAGCTCCCACTAAATTCCACATCCAACTTAATTAAATTAATCCAATTAAATATTAATTAAGCCGATCGAGTCAAATTTTGTCAAAAATTTTGCAAGTACGTAAAAAATCGAGGCCTAGCCTCGTTTTTTAAAAAAAAACGCAAAACCAAGCCAAGTGCCTATCTCCCAAGCCAAAGGCTAGGGGCTGCTAGGCACTCTAGCAAGGCATGTGTGCGTGGCTGGCCGCATAGCCCTAGCAGCGCACCAAGGCAGCCGCAAGCATCGCAGGCACACAGCATGCCTAGCATGCTTGTGTGCTGCTGCTGGTGCTAGCAGTGCCCTTTGTGCGCGCTATTTCTGGCACCATGTGCTGCCTAGCAGTCCGGGCTTGCGTCAAATGATGGGCGCATAGCAGCCCATGCCCGCCACACTGCTCGTTACTACCAAGGCAGCCCAACAGCATTTGCTTGCGGGTTGGGTGTTGCCTAGCATCCCGCACAACACACGCATTACACCCTCCCCACCATTTGCTCGCACACACCGCACCAACCCTCGGTCAGCATCTTAACGTAGCTGTGCGAGCAGCCTTGTTGGCCGAGGCTAGTACCGAGGTATCATGCCTCGATTTTGGGGTATGCATCGAGATTTTAATCCAATTTTTTTTGTGTGACTTTTAGTTAATTCCAAATTAAATTTTAGAACTAACATTTTGAGCAATTTTGAATTAAAACAAGTCTAATTTAATTAAACCAATTTCAGTGCACAAACCAAAATTACTCCAAGAACTATTCTTAAGTAATTTTAGGTCAACTTGATGCAATAAAAATTGAGAGCTTGTCTCATGATTAATTTAACCAAAGATTAAAATTAATAATGAGTTTGACAAAATTAGTTGAATAAATAATCAATCATCCAATGAAAATAATTTATCCAACAATTACTCATGCATATTTGAATATTTCAACCTTCAAATGAAGAATAATATTCAAGCAAGTATGAACATTCATGATTTTAATTTACTTTCAAAATGATTAAAACTCAAAATATGTTTACTTTGGATTTTAGCAAGTCAAGATTTAACCAATTAAATTATTAAAGATTCAATCTTTGACTATTTTAAGGGTTCAAAAATCATATTTAACATATACTCATGCATTACAAGCAATCTAATTGCTAGAATGAACAATAATCAAGTTTATGTAAATTTTAGAGCTATCCAAATTAAGCAACCAATTCACATCATTAACATGCTTAATAAGGAATGAAATTGCAAAAGATTTTTGCTATAATCAAACACATAATCCAACAATTGCATGTCATAATTAATCAAGGTTTAAAGTTTTAAAATTTTTCGTTCCCAAATGGAAAACCCTTTGAAAAACACCTTTCTGGGCAGATTTTGGCTTCTGAATGCCATTTTTAAAACTATGTGGGTAAAGAATGATTTAGAACATCGATTCCACCGAAAAAAAACCCTATTTTTGGGTCGAAATCTGGGTTCGTAATAAAAAATTAGTAACAATACGATTTTAATCCACTAAAAACGAGGTGCTAATCTAATTATGTTGCTAATCCAGAAATTTAAATCCATTTTAAATCACCTTAATGAATTTTTAGTTGTAAAAATTAAATGAAAAAGGCTCTTATACCGCTGTTGGGTTTTACGATGCGTGAGCACCATGCGGAACCAAAACCCACTCGGATCGCATGCATAATTAATACAACTAAACAAACTAACATGCAATTATTAAAGCAATAAACACATAAAGAGGAAGAGAGAGAAAGTAAGGAAAAGACTTCCTTACCCTTGAAGCGTGCTTCTCACGAACCCCGAGCACGAACCAAGGAAAGTTCAAGACCCGCATGAGCGAACCCTCCTACTTCGCTCACCCACGTGCCCGAACAAGGTTCCTACCTCGTAGCTTAGATGAGGCTAAACCAAAAACTCGAGTTTTACGAACTTAAAGGTTTTCTCACTCTTTTGGGAGATGCCTTATTGAGTTCAACTCAAAGTGTAAATTTCCCAACTCCCAAGGTAGGTATTTATAGGCAAAGCACTCCCAAAGCTTCAATCATCTTTCTATGTGGGAGAGTTGATGAAATGAGAAAATAAGTAATTAATTTATTCTAAATTAAATTAAATACACAAATCAATTAGCAAACAACAAGTGGCAAATTGGAGAAGGAGAAGGTAGGTAAGGACCACAACTCCCCTTGCTCCCCAAGCAAAGCCCACCTCACAAACCAGGGCCAACCATGGCACGCTAGCTGGCGCAACCTGCCTTGGGCACCAAGGCTGCCTCGCTGGCGGCCTGGTCCCTTGGCTGGGCCTGCCGCGCCCATGGCTGGCTGCCCACACACGCAGGCCTCGCATGGCTATGCAGGCTGCTGTGCGTGACTGCCTGCTGTGGGATGGCTAGCGCTAGCAGTAGCTAGCGAGGCCAAGCGCGCTAGCATGCGGCTGGCCTTGCTAGCACTGCTAGAACGCAAGCTCGGCAAGCAAGCACGAGCCAGCACCCGAATGGGGTTGCTGGGTTTGCGGTCTAGCTAGCGCTGAGGCTAGCAGCCCTTGGTAGCCTAGCCCTCGCATGGCTAGGCCAATGCGAGGCTATGGCTATACACATTGACCTGTTGTTTGACTAATTTCTCGTCTCGTTGATTCCTTGAATCGACTTGACGTTCGACGCTTGGCTTCGACGCTCTAAGTTTGAAATTCGACGTCTGAGTTCGTAAAATTCTTATCGACTTATTTAATCCTTCGGATTAATTCGTCGTCTTTGTTCAATTACACGATTAGGTGTGACCCGTAGGTTTCAGTCAAGAGCAAGCTGTAAGATTAATTATGTATTAATCTTATTGATTGGAAGCGGCCTCCAGGTAGGCATTCCTGTCACTTGATTTCACTAAAAAATTAGCTTTTCTTATTAATTCTGATCCCTCTATCGGAATAATACACTTGTTCGAAGGACATCATTCCTTTCAAGAGCGACACATGTCAAAGTATATTGTGAGTGCCTTCTATTTTATAATAGATATAGATATAACAGTTTAATTATAATAAACTAATCATTATGACGAATCAAACAAAACTCAAAATGACTATGTTGTATTTTATACTTTCGCCTTTTTTTTTTACTTGACTCGCTTTGACTTTTATATTATTCACCATCTCTCCTTTGACCGTCTTTTGTGAATTATATGTAAGTAAAAAAACATATTTATATGAGATATTGTTAGAATCGTTTCAATTAGTACTATCATAATATCAGTAACTTTACCAATTGGCTATTGGTGCAATGGTGATTAGGGCTGCACTTGGTAAGGAGGACCGCGTGTTCGATCCCCCGCAACAACAATTGGGAAGGGATTGGAACCTAACCACTTAGAACTAAGCCGCGAATTAATAACTTTTATAATTTTCACTTATGGAAAATTAAAGTTATTGATGGTAAAGTTCTGCATTGGCAAGCGTGATAACTGAAAAAAGTCAATTACAAAACGGAGAAAATATAAGTTAAATTCAATTAGAAGATTTTTTCATCTTATGAAACGAAGGGAGTATTATAGATATTAAGGATATAAAATGTTCATAGTTAGACCTCAAGTCCCAACATTTATTAAAATAAAGGATAATTCTATATGTAACACTTAGCGTTATGGATAAACATTTAAGATCTTTCCTAATTTGGTATTAATTTAGAAATGCATGACAAAATCAAGCGCAAATTAGTGTAATTAATATTATATTTTCACTTGTTTTTTCCATTTTTAGATTCTTATATGTAGCCCTAAGGGATATTTATAACATTTTTCTTAAAAAAAAAAAAAGTCTTATTTTAAGTCCAAAAAATTTAAAAAGATGATGTCAAGACTTAGGGCTAATTTACGTATATAAGATTTTAAGTTGTACCTCCTAGACTCCTAGTTATCAATCTTTGTCCAATATTTATCAAAATATTTATGAATAATATAATTAACCAAAAAGTATTGAATGAAATGGATAAGTACTCTCAAATATCCTTTCTTTTCTCCTTTTTCTTTTCTCAAAGGATAAGCACTCTAATAAATCTCTGACTACATAGACATATGTGTCACACTCACATATCCGATAAGCTGCCCAATTATCTCAACCAATCCACTCTACCCACCAAATTAACACATCATTGAATAAGTCAAATCATCACCACGTTGTACACACAATTCTATGTACAGTACACTGTATTTCTACACCAACCGCATTCAAAACATCGTCGTGTACTCGCGTATTCTCCTTTTTTCAGTTTCCTACTCAGCAACACCGCAACACTTATCCTAAATTTTTCTTTTCACTTAATCTAAACTTTAACCGCTATCTAAAATATTATCGTCAAACAATGCTTTGACTTCATTTCAACTCTCTATCTTACCCTATTAAACCCCATTAGAGATACTGTAAGCTTTTTTGATACGGATTCTTTAACTCTCTTCCTCACTTTTAAAAAACCATACTCCCTCTGTCCCTATTTTATCACCCCATTTGACTATACACGGTATTCAAGACGCGTCTTAAAACGTCTATATTTTTATGTCCATACACGTCAAAATTATAAAAACGTGATATTAATAAAATATATAATGAGATGAATCTAACAAGACCACTTATGACTATATTATCGTTTATAGATTAACGGTAATTTATGGTCAAAATTTTCAAAATTTAATCCAAAACATGGCAATGGGGCAAAAATAAAGGGATGAAGGGAGTATTTGTTAACTTAGGTCAAAATAACTTGTGAGAGCCTGAGAGGTTCTGGTGGGATAAAACTTTTTCATTTTATAACAAAAGAAAAAAAAAAAACACCGCAACACTTATCCTCATATCCACCGTCCACCTAACCCTTTTCACCTCCCTCATCCAACGGTCCACATCTCTCCTCTTTCCTACCATAACCTTCCTTTTCCGCGGCGCCTCTCCAACGCAAGGCACACTTCTTTTCTTCTTCTCCTTCAACAACTTTCTCTCTCCTCCTCAAACTTTCAATGGCTTCCTTCACGTTCTCTCTCTTACTCCTCTCTCTAATTCTCCCACTTTCTCTCTCCTCAACTCTCATCCTTCCTCTCAACAAACACAAATCAACCAACCTCTATTTGACCCGAATTCACCACGGGTCACATCTCGAACCCGCTGAACTCGTAGTAGATCTGAACTCCCCTCTTTTATGGGTTGACTGCTCATCTTCTCCCCAACCAACCGCCGTCAATTGCCGATCCATTCAGTGCACCTCCGCTGCATCGAACCCTTGCCCAACTTCACCATCAGCTAATCAAGCGTGCTCTCTCCCGCTGCGGAACCCGGCTACGAGTGGTTCCGCAACGGGTGAGCTCGTCGATAGCGTCATTTCATTCAATGACAAAGTTTTGGTCGTTGATTCGTTCCTGTTGTCATGTGCACCCTCGAAAATCTTATCCGGGTTGCCTACCGGGTCAAAGGGTGTTTTCGGGCTTGGAAAAACCCGGATTGGCCCAGTTTCTCAGATCTCTCACATCATGGAATACCCGAAGAAATTCTCCCTTTGTTTGTCTGAGAACAATGGGATGATCTTAACTGGGAATGATGAAGGTGAGGTGTTTAAGTCAATGAGTTATACTCCATTAATCGACAACGAAGGCGATTCGTCTTACAATATCAATCTCAAATCAATCAAAGTTCAGAACAAGAAACTCCCATTCGACGACGACACCATATCGACCATCAAAATTAGTACCGTCGACCCGTACTCGAAGATGGAAACAAGAATCTACCAAGAACTAGTTCAAGCTTTCATAACCGAAGCCGAGGCGTTGAACCCGAATCTACTAAGAGTCCCACCTGAAGGAGGATTTGAGGTTTGCTTTGGTGTTGAAGGGTTCAGAGTAAGTCCAGTAATTGATCTGATTTTACAGAGTGAGATGGTGAAATGGAGAATTTATGGGCATAATTCAATGGTGAAGATTAGTGATGAGATTATTTGTTTAGGGTTTTTGGATGGTGGGAGTGATTTAAATGGGAGTTCAATGATTTTGGGTGGTCATCAATTAGAAGATAATTTGTTGGAATTTGATTTGGGAAGTTCAATGCTTGGGTTTAGTTCTTCTTTGCTCAAATTGCAATCTAGTTGCTCTCAATTGAGTTCTTCTGCTATGGTTCAACAAATGGGTGCTCAATCTTCATGAGTTTCTTGTGTTTTTTTTTTAATTTTGTAAATTTTTTTTAGTTTTTTCTAATTGTTAATTTTATAATTTTGGTGGGGTTTTACAATTTTGGGTATGGGTTAGTCATTAGTGACATTAGTCACACACTAATTAAACGTGTGAATGAATATGCTTTTGGCATATTCTAAAGGGTTATTTTGTAAATGGGAAGCTTTTAAGAATATATGTGGTGAAAAATTTCCATAATTATATGATGGAGAGTTATGTGTGAGAAAGAAAAAATATCAAGAGTATAGATTTTATTACTCTTAGATATTTATTATCTAATATTAATTGTACGGAATAAAATTGTCCTCGTAATTTTATTTCAAAATAGCATGGATTTTTTTTTGATTTTTTAGCACATAATTGTGGTAAATCCATGAACTATCCTCTAGAAAATTTGCTAATTGGTTTCTTAAAAGAGTGATTATAGATAAAAGGAATTATTCGTACGGGAGTATGATTTATATTGGTGCGACGTCCACCACTCCACCTAGAAAACTAGAAACAGTCAAAAAGATGCCACAAACCTACAATTATTATCTTAATTGGAATATTAATATGCTTAATCCCTTAGATCAGCATATGCCGTCATCATAAGTAATCGCTTGTGGATCATCAATTCGTCGTAATAAGCCATCATGCTCTGTATAAATTTTAGGAAATACGATCAAGAACTACTCGTTAAATAGGTCATTTTGTTAACTAATCATTTAAAAATTTTATCAAGAAAGCTACCCACTAAATTTAAAAAGTTTAACTTGCACTATCCATTTTGATTTTTCGGCAATAAAATCTGATGAATGGGGGCTCGCTTTTGTTTTTCCTTCCAAAACTTAAATACGAAATGATGAATCAAACAATTAAGAAGCCAAAACAAATGAATTGAACATTGGTGAAATTTTGAAAAATTTGTGTCTTTAGGTTGAGTTGTTGTAAAGGAGATGAGGTTGATTGTTATATACGAGTTTTAGGCTTAAGTTTTGGAGAGAAAAAATAAAATTCGCCCACACTTGCCGGATTTTATTGTCGGAAAACTAAAATGGATAGTGCTACTCAAACTTTTTAAATTTATTAAAGGTAGTTTTTTTGATAAAAATTTTAAGTGAATAGTTGTTGATAAAATGACCTATTAGGTGGGTAATTCTTAACAATTTATCCTTTTTATGTATGTATTCATAACCTTACGGTGTATTTGATTCACTTAATTTCTCATTATCAGAATTAGGAAGCACGAAAGATAAGCATATTTTAATTCAATCCCCCATTTTAATCGCACACCCATTCCATATCATCTAAACCAATTAACACATCTAAAAATTTGTTTAGGGTATATTATGTTAACCTCAATAAAAACACATCCTTAATTACATGGAGTATACAAAGTACTCCGTTTGTCTCTATTTTTTTGCCCCATTAGAATTTACGCGGTCTCCATTACATGCCTTGCAATGTATATAACTTTATTTTTATACGCTTGAAAATGATATAAAATAGATATTAATAAAATATACAATGAGATGAATTCAATAAAATCCCACATGACTATATTATCTCTTATTGATTGATGAGAATTTATGGTCAAAGATTTTGAAGTTTGACCTAATTTTTTTGCAATAGGGCAAAAAATTAGGGAAAGAAGGAGTATGAGACTATGGAGTGAAACATTTTAAACCTAAAGCTAGAATAATATATTCATGTAATCCTATATGATAATAGATGAGTTACTGTTTCAGATTTTTACAAACTCTCTAAATTCTCTCATCTTAACAATTTTAACATACAATTAGTTATTTGGGGTACATGTACCAAATTCATGTGTAAAACAAGACATGCTAACAACACAAAAAATGAACTTGGAATCAAATGACGCCTAGTTACATTCAATGAATCTAGACAAATTGGATATTTATGGTTAGATTCGTCCCCCCAAATTAAAAGTAGGAGTGAGTATCTAAAAGTTAAAAATGTGAATTATTACTTTATTAGTGTAATAAATACTCCATCTATTCCTTATTTATATGCCTATTGTTAATATTTATTACTCATATAATAAAAAAAAAAAAATAGACATATAAATAAAGAACGGAGGAAGTATGCTTTTGACATATTCTAAATGGTTTTGTAAATGGGAAGTTTTAAAGGAAGATGATATGTCGTTAAGAAATTGTCATAAATATATGATTTATATGTGCAAAAGAATATCAAGATTGTAATTAATTTGGAAATGCATGTCAAAATTACTTGTTAATCGGTGTAATTAATATTATCTCAAATTAATATTTTTACTTTTAATTATCTTATCCAATGCCCCGGGACGTTCGTTAGTTTTTTTTTTTCCATTCTATTATAGGAATATTAATATAATATGTATTAATATGTAGCTAAGGAGTTATACTGATCATAATACTGATCATAAATGCTTGTCCCATTTGATATCAACACAGTGTTTCAATGTTATTTTGTAATTAAAATATCTAAAGTTACGTATGAAATAAAAGGAAAATGCTATACATAACCCTGGGCTACATATAAAGAGCTAAAAATGGAAAAATAAATTCAAAAATAACATTAATTACACTAATTTGCGAATGATTTTATCATGCATTCCTAAATTAATACCAATGACATTAATTATAAAAAATGCATTTTTGAAAATCAAAAATCAAAACGAATCTAACAAGATCCTATGAATATATTTTGAAGTATTCCCTCCACTCCTAAATAATTGACACGGTCAAATTTGACACTCATGTCAATGCACTAGTTTAACTTTAGATATATATGATTAAATATTAGGCCTCGTTTGGTTGACACGGGAAATAAATTCCCATAGCAAGTTGTATTTCATGGGAAATTATTTCCCAAATGAAATTCTTAGGAATTTCTTTGAGTTGTTTGGTTGTGACAATAGAAAGTTAAAATTCCCATAATGTTTAATGACCAAGGGGGCCTTAGGTATTTACTTCCTACATTTTGTGGGAAGTGGAAATTCCCATGAATTCCAACTTTCCCCATTTTTGCATTTTTGTGTCAACCAAACAACTATCCAATTATGTACAATTACATAATTTATCCTCTCTCCTCCTAAAATCCTCTCTTTTTTCTCTCCTCCCGTGTTTCATCTCCCCCCTTTAAAACGCTAGGAGCTCGCCGGAGTTTCGGCGTCGCGGCCGTACTCCGGCGAGCCTCCTCCTCTTTTTTCCTCCTCCTCTTCTTTCTTATTGTTCTCTTTTCTGCTACTTCTCTTCTCCTTTCTTTTCCCCTTCTTGGTTTAGGTGGTTTCCTTGCATCGTCATCTTCTTTCTTCTTGAGGATTTTAATCCTTTTTTAGGTGTTTGTGAGAGCCTATCCTAGTTTTCGAAGGTTTTAAGGGGAGTGTTTCGATTGTCCAACTCCGACGCCGTTTCCTACCTTTGTGTGGAAGGTTTGCGTTCGCTCAAGGGTCTCTCCACCGGTGAAACAAGGCTTAAGGACTAGGCCTAACGTCGCCGTCATTGGTCATCGGTAATTTTGACCGTGACGGAAATGGTAAAGTTAGGGTTAGGGTTTTGTGGGTCCTTACGCTGGAGGGCTAGGCCTAACGCTGCCGTCAAGAGTAATTCGAGACGGAAACGGTGAAGTTAGGGCTAGGGTTTTGTGGTTCCTAGTGTTCGTGGTTTCGGGTTTTCGGTTTGGACGGTGCTCTCCTCTGGTTTGTTCCCTTTCCTAAGTATGTTTTTTCTTAGTATTTATAAGAGTTTACTTGCCTTAGTTTGTGTTATGGAATTTTTTATCCTCCTTTGGTTGTTTTCTGGGCTATGTAGTTATTTTGGCTATAGTATTTTGGATAGTTGTGTGTAGAGGGAGTTATGATCCTTTGTTAAGGATTGTGGTGTGGTTATTGTGGTAAGAGAGGTTACAGGTGTAGTTGTTGGGGGTTTGAACAAGAAGTTGGCCTTGGCTAAGGTGAATTGTGTCCTTTGTTGGAGTAGTATTGGTTTGGTTTCTTTTCCCTTGGATGTAATGATTCTTGTGATCATTACTCTTGATACTTGTTATCTGAAGCAGGCGCCCAAACTTTGTTTTGGGGTTTCTCAAGCCTCGACGTTGTCAAAGCTTTCTTGCCAACAAGGAAAGCTATTGATTGGAAGGTCACTAGTTCAAGTGACCCGTTTGAAGACCTTACTTGGTGATGAGTTGATCCCACAGGTAAGGATTTGCTAGCCATGGTCAAACAGTTTTGATCCTCTCCGTTGCTCTCTTTATGGTGTGTAGTATGTTTTTGCTCCTTTGTTTGTAAGGAGTCCCTAATTTGCGACTTGTCCGGCCAATTCAAGTTTAATTTTGTTTTTAATCTCAAAAGTTGTTGTAACAGGCTTAAGTGTTAAAAAGTCATGCTTTAAGTTTTAGTTCTTGTTCTGTAGGTTGTAAACTCTGATTTTATAAATATATTTGCTATTGTCAAAAAAAAAAAAAAAAAAAAAAAAAAAAAAAAAAAAAAAACAAACAAACAAACAAACAACTATCCAAATAATAAAATCCCATGATGAATTTTCACTTCCCCCATTTTATTTTGTCAACCAAACAACCCCTTAGTAATTTTTTTTTGAAAAGTTAATGTTATAAAACTTTATATTAATACCTTTTTAACAATACATTTCATGATAACATGTCAATTATTTAAGAGAGGGGGAGTATATAAAAACCATTAAAATACTAGATTCCATTTACATTATAATTTCTTAAGATTCCAAATGAGACAAATTAAAGAAATTGAAGGGAGTAAATAGGTTTGAATTGCTAAAGCTGGACACCCAGTGCAAAGAATTTTATTGATTTTGGCTCGATTTAATTCATCCGAATTTGTCTGCAATTATTATACCTAAACTTGGGATATATAAGCTTATGTTTTGTTCTATTGTGCTTATTTTTGTTGAATTGAAACTATTTTTTTTTAATTGATATAATTTTACCGAAATAAATTATTTATGATAAATTTAAATTATTTTTATTGATTAAAATCTATTTCCACTGATTTTTTAATTATTTTTGCTCAACCTTTTTAGTTTAAAATTTCAAACACTATTATAATTGATTTTTTTGGAATTTAAATTATAAGAAATAAAATAAAATAAAATGAGATAATAGGAAACAAACACGCCCTTAAAAAATAAAACACATAATATCTTTTACACAAAATTGTAAAAAAAAAACCTCTAATTTTTTTTTTAAAGAAAATTCATTCAACTCTTACCATCAATACCTTTAAATACATAGTAAATATTAGATACTTAATTGTAATCCTCTTGAGAATTGGTTTTGAATATAGAAAATTG